TCGTCGGTTGAATGATTTGGCTGATATGCAAACTGGAAGGGATCCAGGGAGGCAGGAAGGACAGAGTTGATGTGTTTCATGACTAGCCGTTCGAAGCACTTCATCAGGATGGGGGTGAGTGCCACCGGACGATAGTCATTGAGGCAGGAGGGCGATGCCTTCTTTGGGACAGGGATGATGTTGGTAGCTTTAAAAGAGGTGGGGATGATGGTCTGACTCAGCGAGATTTTAAAGATATATGTGAAGACCGCTGCAAGTTCCACTGCACAGTCCTTCAGCACACAACCAGGTATGTTGTCAGGACCAGAAGCTTTTCGGGCGTTGATCTTGATGAATGATAGCCTTACACTGTCGGTGGACAGCGTCAGCATCTGGTCATCGGGAGAGGGGTAGAGTTTCTGTGCAGGTGGGCTGTTACATGCTTCAAACCGAGCAAAGAAGTCATTCAGCTCATTCAGTGTAGAGGTTGTGCTGTCTCAGGTTTGTGGGGCTGGCTTGTAGTTCGTGATGGTCTGTATTCCCCGCCACAGACTCCGTGTATCCTTGCTGTCACTGAAGCGATGAGCTATCTTCCTGGAATACTGCTTCTTGGCCTTTCTGATGCCCCGGGACAGGTTGTTTCTAACACTGTATAATCACCCTCCAATACAAACAAAATGTTGGGCATACCACCATTAACAGACCTAACAGTCAAATATAGAGTCAAACACAAGCTTAAGAAAAATGCTGGTTGAGGGAGGCCAGTCCTATGGTTTCTTTTGATCCTCGCTGCCTGTTGCTGGAATGACATTCCTTTTTATGTATTCCATCGCGTTATTCGAGTTGACAAATATCTTGTTTGTCCCTCCATGCGTGATGTGAAGCCGTGCAGGAAAAAGAAGTCCATACTGGACACCTGGTCCGTTCCACAGGAGGCATCTCACATCCGTGAATGCCGCTCGTGTTCTTGCCACGCTCAGGGTGTAATCGGCTGCAATGAATATGGATGATTCTTTGAAGTGGATTGGGCCACCACTGCATGCTCGTTGTAATACTGTATCTCCACATAATCTTGATAATAATGCAGCCTGACCTTGATAACTCTTGATCCACCATCCGAGCCTCTCCTGCCTGTCGCCCGGTATACATGATCAACCAACGGTGACTTGTCCAGCTTCAGCACCTCCATTAGCATTTTTGCTATCACTTTAGGGGTGCAATATTAGGATTATTGGAGTTCCTGAATCACCAGGCATGAGCCTGGTGATTCAGGAACTCCAATAATCCTAATATTGTTCCATTTCATATTACCTTCCACGGATTCCAGCTGTTTTCTCAGCCCATCCACCTCATCTTTCAATTCCACCATGGTCCCACGCAGAGTCTCCACCTCATCTGAGCATAAAGAAAGCCCATTCTCAATATCTGAAACACGTAACTTGACTTGGTTAAACTCTGCTCTGAGGCCCATGGTAGCACCAGTAACCTCCATTCTCACTGCTTGAAATTCACTCCTAACAAAATTAAAACCATCTGTCAGAGCTGTCTTCATCTCCATCCTAATTATCGATGTGACTTCAGATTTAATTGAAGCCAGAATGTCTGACTTCAGAGTCGACTCGAGTATCTCCCCAGAGTCCATCAAAGGCGGGGTTAATACACCTGCTGTTACACCATCATGGCAGCCTGAGGCTTTATCTGTGACAACTGGCCATGCGGGGGAAGACACCACTGCTTTAGATTTTATAGCTTAGAGGCCATATTACATCTATGTTGAGTCAATCATGCGACAACACCAATCTCACAGGCAGAATCCAACATGGGGGCAGTGAGGATATAATTATAAAAGGCAATTTTTCAGTGGGGCTGACAGGAGCCTTGCAAAACGCTATTTACTGATCAGTGGCCATCTTGTGCCTCCCATAAATAATGAGTTTTGATGTCACAGTTCTCTCAGATCATCTGAAGCTTCTGAAAATACATGTCTTAACTTATAGATTTTTTTTTTCAGTAAAACTCATAATGTCTTACTGTATATCTTAGATCCTTATTTACTGTTTCTTTTTACACTTTTTATATTTTGCTGTTTTTGAGTGTAACTGGGACCCTGTGTACATAATTTTGTTGCACCTGACTTGAAAGTTGACTTGAATTTGTACTTGAATGTAGCCTGAACCATTAAGTATCGTCTGCAAAATAAAGAGTTATTTACAGGTTGTGTACAGCTCCAGATGTGGGTTACGGTCAGTGTGCTACATTTTCCTTTTTAAAACGTGTTCTGAAGTTTAGCTACTTTTTATGCAAGATATACATACAGCTATTTCAAGTGTTACACAAAATGCTTGGTTTTGATTCCACGTTTAATCTCAAAACAGCAACTTTATACTTTCCTTTTGACATTTTTATTAATTACTGTAGGCAGCACGGTGGCGCAACTGGTAGAGCTGCTGCCTCTCAGCGAACAGGTTCCTGGTTCAAACCCCGGTCCAGGAGCCTTTCTGGGTGGAGTTTGCATGTTCTCTCCGTGCATGCGTGGGTTTTCTCCGGGTACTCCGGTTTCCTCACACAGACCAAAAACATGCATGTTAGGCTGACTGGTAACTCTAAATTGTCCCTAGGTGTGAGTGAGAGAGTGAATGGTTGTTTGTCTCGTTTGTCTCTATGTGTCCCTGTGATGGACTTGCGACCCGTCCAGGGTGTACCCCGCCCCTCGCACAGTGATTGCTGGACATGGGCACCAGCGACCCCCGTGACACAAAATGGAATAAACGGGTAAAGAAAATGGATGGATGGATGGATGGATTAATTACTGTTAAAGAAATGCTATAACTTTTACAGCATTTAGAATATTTTCATGAAATTGCTTTGTGATTTTATTCTCAGCATTTCAGTCTGAACTTAGCGACTTTAATTTTAGAAACCCAGACAAGTCCTTTGAGTGCCCATAATGTGTTGTTGTACAACATTAGGAAAAGTAGAAAAACATGTTGTTTTTTTTTTTTTTGCTATTTCAGGTCAAATTTATAAGGTACTGTATACCAATTGTGGATGAGCAAAAGCAGTACTTTGAATAACCGTCTGCAAAGACTGAAGTTAGTCGTGTTACAGCACATGCAGTATTGAATAAGCCTGGATTTGTGTTAAATGAGGGGCTGTGTTTGCATGTATGTGCATACTTTATGTTTTCTGCAAGCTTTTGTCTTTGGAAGAAGGCACAAATGAATGATATAAATTTATATACGTAGACATAGAAAAATACTTCTAACAAACAAGCGTCAGTCAGTTCCCCACCTGTGATGGTCCCTTTTGAAATAACAAGTGTTGCCTCTGGCTCTCTGAAGATGTTCATGTTTTCTCTGTTGTACAAACAGCATCCAGCAAACGGTTGTCCCATCTGGAGCACATGCTTGGATTTGTTTGTGCATTGTTGTGCATGTGAGGATGCAGGCATGTGTGTGTGTGTGTGTGCGTGTGTGCGTGCGTGCGTGCGTGTGTGTGTGTGTGTGTATGTGGTGGTGGTTGGCGGGGTACGGATGCTCTCTATAAGGTGTTCCTGTTCCACTCTAATGTTGTTGAATGTTGGAACTGTCACTCTAAGTATTAACTTTTCATTCTCACTTCTTTTAGAGATGCTTCAGCAGGCAGAGATGAGGAGCTCATTTTACAGCAAGGAGTAGTCCACATTGTTTATCTCCTTAACGTGTTTATAAAGGAAGAAGAAAGCAGGATTAAAAGAGGAATGTTTACCTGCACTTTAGCACAGGGATATTGAATTGGTGGCCCGTGGGCTATTTCCAGCCTGTGGGCCACCAATGAGTTCATTAAAAAAATATATGTATTATTATTATTATTATTATTATTATTGTTATTATTATTGTTATTATTATCATCATCATTATTTTTATTTTTTTTAATTTATTTATTTATTTAATGGTTTGGGTTTTGGGTTCTGTTTATTGCATTTATGATTCAGTGCAATAAAACAAACAAATTTAAAAGGTAACAGATCATTGTAATACTTAGTTTATTTACATAATGACTTTAATTGCAGGATGTCCGGCCCCTGAGCTGCTGGCTTTCTGTAACTGTGGCCCCGTGAGCAGTTTTGTTGGATAGCCTTGCTTCAAGCATTAAGTTCTTCAGGTTTTGGACTTTGGGGAATTTCCAGTCTTTTATGATGATGATGTCTGTATTAATTCTTACCATCAAACATGCTGCTATCATGATTATGCCAACTGCATGATTATCAACAAAGATAGGATACAAGGATTCAACGTTCTTTATTGTTGTTTGCACCACATGTGGTACTTTGTATATGTGGTGAAACAAAACTGTGTACAACGGGTCCCAGTTACATCCAACAAAAGTATAAAATGTAAAAGAAAAGCAGTAATAAAATCTAAGATATGAACTAAGAAAAACATTAACTAGAAATACGATAAACGCAAGTAGTACATAAACAATATGCCTAACAGCAGCATGATAGAGCTCTAGATATGCTTTTTATCACACAAATGAGCAAAATAGGATGTTTTTTATGAATCAGTATCTTATCAGACAGATACATTTTCTTTTTTTAAAATACCATCCTTCACAGGCAGTTACAATATCTGGAAAGAATGTGAGGGTAAATGTTCCAAATAAATTTGTATTTTTAATTCACAATTGGGGGAGGCTGTCGCTGAGTATTTAGAGCAGTCGTCCTCCAATGCAAGGTTTGGGAGTTCCACTCCACCAGCAGTCACATGTCGAAGTATCCCTGGGCAAGACACTGAACCCCTCATTGCCTCTGATGTGTCCCATCGGTGTATGAATGTGATCTAAAGCACTGATTAGTCTCTTTAGAATAATTTGTTCAATTAGCTTTGTAGAGATCTAGCAGAGTGCTGTATGAATGGGTAAATGAGGCACAGATTGTAGTGTAAAGAGCTTCATTTGAGTAGCTGCATAAGATAGAAAGGCGCTATATAAGTACAGTCCATTTACCATTTACAAATATCTGTTTAACATTTGTCTGTTAGACTCACACAGGGGAGAAAGAGAAGATCTGCCCGTACTGCGGACAAAAATTTGCCAGCAACGGCACTCTGAGGGTCCACATTCGCAGCCATACAGGTTAGCAGCTTTTATTAACTTAATGCTTTGTTACAAATAACTGCTGCAGTTATTAAAAATTAAATTATTCACAGTGTTCATGGATTTAAGGTAAGTGCAAAGTCGTCAGGTAACGTTCTGTCATTATTTGTTTTATCCTAATTTAAGATAATGTGGCACAAGATAAATGATGCCCCTCTGGTTTTGATTTCATCTGACCTTGTTAAAGCCTACAGTGATGGTGAACATAATCTGAGTTGGTCACTAATCAAATATGATCCTGTTTTAAAGGACCATTGGGTCTTTAACCCATTGGGGTTAAAAACTGTCACATTTGTAAGGAAGAAATCTACTTTGGTCTTGGCCTGACTTAGCTCATCAGTCCTGTATATATATATATATATATATATATATATATATATA